ATTGCCTATTCTGGTCAAATTGACACTGTCAAGAATTGGTTTGAGGATTACTTTTACAAAATGCTCTGTGAAATGCTAAGGACATAGAATAATATGGTTTCATGATGATCAGAAACTCAGCTTCACTTTAAATTATTCTGAAGACCACAGCATATAATTCACTTTTTGCTCTGAAGTCTCATAATGCCCTTTGTCCAAAACCAATAAAAATATAATTCAAACATTTAAAATTCATGAGTTGTATAGACAGGACAGGTTAACCTCAAACTTTAAGAAAAGCACATTTAGATAAAGGATAAAGCACATTCAACATGTGTCACTTTAATGGTGTAGAATTTCTGATGGTTTTTTAAAAAATTCTTGACATTTTAGCAGGGAAAACAGCTGTGAGGTTTATCATCTCCATGCAGTTTCCACTTAAATCTTGGTATTACCTTAGCATGGCAGAGTTTAAAAAACACCAGATTTCAATTCGGAAAGTCTGGGTATCCTAATTTAATGTATTCCAAAGTTATTCAAATCAATGAAGTCGAGTAATCAATTTTAAGAGTCAAGAAACTATGGTATTGCAAATTACCTCTAGGAAGGTATTAAAAAATCCTTGTACTGAATCACAAGTTTCCATTATAGCTAAATGAAAATGCTAAATACTTTATTTTCCATTTGTATTTTAATAAGATATAACCAAAAGCACCATGGAGGCAGAACATGAACAATCTAAGGCCAAATGAACACCATTATTAATTCAACTAATAACATTAAGCAACTGAACTGTTCGTTTACTAATCTGACTCCACATACCATATTATAAAACTTGGAAAATGAATTAAAATGAATTTAGTTAAAATTCTTTCACTAGCTATGAAAGCTATCCCAGATAAATTATGTCCTTAAAGTTCTAGAAGTGTACCTCCTTAGTCTACCTTGTAAAAAATAAGCTCATTGTAGGTATAGAATGAACAAATAGAAAAAAGAGCACAAAACCAACAAACATGGAATTGCTTTTTTTGGGGGAGGGGTTTAGGCAATGGGGTTAAATGACTTGCCCAGGGTCACACAGCTAGTAAGTGTTACATGTCTGAAGCCAGATTTGAACTCAGGTCCTCCTGACTACAGGGCTGGTGCTCTATCCACTGTGCCACCTAGCTGCCCCATGGAATTGCTTTTTAGCCCAACATAATTTCACTGGGATTTACATTTTTATTAATTGAGACTGAAAAATTGCTTCAGGAACTCCAATATTCTAAGGCTGTCAAGCAAATCATCTAACCTTTATACTTGCAGGATCAACAGGAATCTCTTTTATAACATCCCTGAGAAAATGTGATTTCCAAATGAAGAACTCCACCACTTCCTGAAACAACTCCTTTCACTTTGGGACAGCTCTAATTAATTAAGAAAAGTTTCCTTATACTGAGATTAAATATTTCTCTCTGCAAACTTCTACCCAGGGCTCTGCCCTATGAGTCCAAGCAGAATAAGACAAATTCTTCTTCCATAGGATAACCCTTAAAATACTTGGAAGAATCATGTGCTCTCAAATGCTTTTCTTTTCAAAGTTAAAAACTCTACAATTCCTTCGACCAATTTTCCATCTGGAATAGCTTCTATTCTCCTATTTGGTCTCCATCTACCATCCTGTTAATATCTTTGATAAAATTTGGCACAGAAATCTAAGCACAGTACTTCTGATGTGATCTGAGTAGAGCAAAGTATAGAAGGACAATCATTTGCCTTGTTCTGCTTTAGACCCTACGCATCTATTAATATAGCCTGAGATCACAGTTACTGCCAAATCACATCACTGACATACTCACTTGCAATTCACTACTGTTTTAAATCTCTTTCATGTGAATTTTTATCTAGTCTCATTTAAGCAGTTGATTAAAAAGATGTGAGAATTTACATTGACCAGTGTTAAATTTCATCTTTCAACATACATTTTTCATTTCACATTACTCTATTTACACATAATTTCAATAAAAAACTGAAATAACTTTGATGAAATTTGGAAACTGATCCTTTGCAAAACAATAACAACAATGATGATTTATTCAGCACTTTGAGGTTGGCAAAGCACTTTGCATCCAGTATTTCATTTGAACCTCACAACCAACCTGGAAGGTAGGTATTACAAGTACTGTTTTCTCCATTTTGCAGATGATGAAACTGAGACTGAGGGAGATTAAGTGACTTTCCTATGGTCACATAACTAATAAGTGGCAGAACTGGCATTTGAACCCAGGTCTTCCTGGCTCCAAGTCTAGAACTAGATATACCTGATAGGTAAAGCCATTCAGCGCTTATACTAAAATCTTCTCAGATGGTCTATGGTGGCCATGGGAAGAAAAAAGAAGGACACACCAGAGTAGTGTGGCACAAAAAATATCAGAAGATTTCTGAGAGTATCTAGTAAAGATATAAGTGAAGATCAGGAAAGAATCATGGCACCTTATGCCTATTTACCTGGGCAAAACCAGGGCTGTGTTGGTTTAACAACTGGCTCTCCAGGGGCAAAAAAGTAGTCACAAAATATTTTCAAGTTTAATCTGCATTATTAGCATTTCTCCATCACTTTTTAAAGTCCAGACAATCAACAGAACAATAAATCAAATCCTGACTTGTAGCTTTTCAAGCTGTAAATGTTCACAATAAAAATTTAATAACTGGCTCTTGCAGAGCTTTTTCTAGCACACATGTGGGTGAGAGAGTTCTCTATTTTTCAGCTAAAAGTATTTATATACCTCCCTACTCTGTACCTGAAGTTATGGCAAATATGAATGGCATACAAAAAGCATGGATGTGACCTTGCCAGCAAAGGTCCCTACAGTAAAAGCTATAGCTTTTCCAGCAGTAACGTATGGCTGTAAGAGTTGGACTATAAGGAAAGCTGAGAGCCACAGAAACAACAGTGCCTGTTCCTTTCACAGATAAAAATCTAGGATGGGTTATTATTCTATGAATATTTACAAAAGAATGAGGCAGTGAGGACAAAAGGACAACATTCTAGTGTTGTGAATTACGCATTCATAGAACAACTAAGTTCTGAGAGATGAAAAATACAACATGCCACAAGAGAAAGTCACCAGAGTGCCCACAATTCAAATGAACCTGGCCCACATTAAGGGAACTCAGCCAATATGTTTAACGATATAAGCAACTACTACTGCAATGCCTGGAAACATCTCTGCTTGCCAAAGAAACTTTCATGCATGAATAATGGTTGAAAAAAGAAACTAAAAGCAAAATTGCAATCACAAAATCTTAGCACTGGAAGGGACCTTGGAAGGCTGGAGCACTCTATTGTACTTATCATACACTACTGCATATTAGTGACCTCTTTGTGTCATAATCCTACACTAGAGTGGAGGTGTCAAACACAAATAGAAATAGGGCCACTAATCCATACACAAGGATCCTTATGGCTACATATTGACAGTTTTAAAATGTAATGTTATATTTGTCTTATTGTATTTTCATTTATTTTGTTAAATATTTCCCAATGACATTTTAATCTGGTTCAGCTAGTCTTTGACATTTCTGCCCACAGTATAAGCTTGTGAAGGAAAGGACTGTCTTACCTAGAGTCTGCACCTGCCCCAGTCCTGAGCAGAGTGCTCTGCACATAGGAGACCTGATGCATTTGTGATGACTCAGGTTTGGATACTCTGCACCTTCTCAACTCACCCTCAAATGCTTCTCTCTCCTCTGGAGGGCAGAGCCTTCTCCCAAAGCCTTCCTTTATAGAGAGCTCACAACCTTCCTGGTAACCCCATTTTTCATCGGCAACTCGAGGCCAACTCTCCCCCTATAATCCCACCCCACTCCCATTCCTTTTTTCAGCTTCCTTTTATGTGTTGTCTTCCCTCACTAGACTGTAAGCATCTTAAGGGCAGGGACTGTTTCTTTTTTGTATTTGTACTCCCAGAGCTTTTTTGTATTTGTACTCCAAGAGCTCAGTGCAGTACCTGAAACATAGCAGGTGCTAAATAAATAAAAACTGATTCGATGAGTTGATTTTAAAAGAGGGAATTTGAAAGCATGTTTGGGAATGGGTTCATGTAGAAATCAAAAAACCTAGGAGAAATATCTGTAGATTATCTGGAGCACAGGTAGATTACTCATTGTGTATGTTCTAGAGGGAATTGGACTACATGACTAAGGTCCCTGCTAACTCTTGAGATTCCATTCTAAATTCTTACACTATTTGGGAATTCCTTCTAGAACACACCTAAGGTGTGATCATCAAGCTCATCAAACGTTTATACTCAAAGTCTACTTATGCTCCCTGACCATGGTGATTCATTTCATGTTTGGTTCACTTCCTTTCCAAGGAAGTGCTTTATACTGATAAGCCAAACGCCTTTGTCAACTTCCTCTTTTTGGGAGACAAACTGCTTCTATCTCTTCAGGACACTCCTTCTGTTATCTGAAGATAGCGATCTTGTTCCTCCCTTATCAAGGTAAATTCCATCATTCAACCACTTTTCATATAACAAAGTGGTAAAGTGCTTCTGTGTTACTGCAACATTTTTGTGATTTTATCAATTTTTTCAAATGGTCTAGACCACTACTCATCCATATCTCTTGCCATCTTTGCAATTCATGTCCATGACCAGCTAGAAATGCTCCACAAAAGATATGCCTCACATGCTGGAATCCTTCCCCTAGATTTCTTTCCTGTATTGTTTTATATAAATATTCATCCTTTACATAATGCTACAAAGGATGTCACTGGAGAAAAATGTGATTAAATAAGATAGGCTGGTTATGCAGTGAGAATGAGCAATTGGATAGCTTATGTGCTCCAATGACCAACCTCTTGATATATGTGACTATGGAAGGCCTTGAGTATGTTGCCTGAGCCCTCTGTGATGAATTTATGGCAGGACACAGATAAGTACATAGGCCAAACAGACATGATTGGATTGAGATCTGCATAGTTGAAGGGGATATTCACATTGATGAGATTCACAGAGCCATTAGAGTATATACCATACCTTGTCCCAATATCAAGCCAGCTTCCATAATCTTTGACCAGGAAGAAAAAGTGCTATTAAAAACAAACAAAAAACAGAAAATTACTTGTTTTATGAATATAGCACAAGGACATAGACTAAATGAAAAGTTTTAGTGTTGTTTTCTCTATCCAGAATTCTTACTCTTCAGGGGTAACAAGGTCAAGACCTTTCTTGAAATGTTTATTTGAACAATGGTTCAGGAGCTAGAAGAAGAATCACCATTCAAAAATGACACAAAAATGACATTCATGAATAGCTAGAAATGAAAAAAGAACTAGGTAGTTCCAATAAGCCAAATTCTGAAGGATTCTGAAAATATCTGAGAAAATGAGGCTTATCCTACCAGTAAAGAGTGTCAGCAGCTGGCTCGTTTTTGTTTATTAAAATAACAGACATATACTTAATAATATAAACATACTATTAAAATATATTCTTTTTGGACCATTGGGCATCACTTAATATTCTTGAGAAGATAATTGATTTAAAGATCTCCATTAGATCAAAAGAATGACTACTGCTATAAAACTGAAATCACACAGCAACACTTCCCACTTGCAGGCATGAGCTCTCTATTTCCTAGCAATCACAGCTCAAATTAGAGGATTACTTGTCTGGAAAGGGCAGCATAAGATTGCTGTCTGTAGCTAAATAAAAACTGATTTAAATGCTCATCAGTATTTGAAATGACATTACTTCATGCATTCTCAATTTTTCAAAGAAATCCATAAGAATGATATAAAGCAGAATTAAAGAAATTGACAACTTAGATTTCATTATTATATCAAAAAATATGAAACAAGTCTTTATTCATTATTATTAGTCTTCAAGAAAAATATTTCTGAAAAGGATGCTGTTTAGAGTATTTTACTTTCATTCTTCTATCTGGTGGGAGGATAGATTACTTGAGGTTAGGGACTCTTATCTCTTTATTCCAAATGCTTTGCACATAGTAGGTGCTTGGTACATTTTTGCTGAATTGAAGAATCAGCCTTCTAAGTGTTACACTTGATGTAACCAGGCTTTTAAGAAAGCAATGCCACTGTATCCTTCTCTTGCAAAAATAAACATAAATTTGCAGAGTGTTTTCCTAGGCAAATATAGCAACATTCCTTTTTCTGTAAAAATATCATTAAGTGAAAATAGAAATTCCCTTTCATTGCCCAGTTTATTTGTCCATTTAGTTTGTAAACTGAATTTTACTTATTTTTTTTTACACATGAACAAAATACAGCCAGAGAGCTGACAATTTCTAAATACATTTCAGGTATATTTTCTATAGATAGTTCTGAATACATAGATATATAAATCTTATATCATTATATACCATTATGAAAATTTTTTTTAAGATGTAGCAACTGTGATGAGGACTTAAAATTCTTTTAACATACAATGGCATTTCTCTGGTCCAAATAACTTGAATACCAATAGCTTTCTAAAAATGTACCTGTCCTTTCTGCCACATATACCAAAAAATATAAAAAGATTCGGCAAATATCCTTGATAAAGGACATATTTACTGCAAGGATTCTGACATTAATTAATTCATTCAACAGATATTTATTGAGCACCTACTGTGTGTAAGTCATAGAGTCCCACTGCATGAGAAGTTTAAGAAGTTCTTGTCTTGTCTTTTTTAATGAGAAGAAATTGTAGGAAAAAACTTTACTGAACGTATTTAAAGTTAACTTATGTTAACTGCACATCAAAGACTATATTTAAAAAAAAACTTACATTAGGGAATATTAGTTTAAAAGTGTCAAAACTCAAGTAATGTGATCTGGGAACTTAAGTGGACACACTGTATGAGTGGTATGAAAAGTAATTTTTATGTACAAATTATGCTAACACTAATGTGATATGTAAAGACTTTATGTAATACAATGCATTCATATTTCCTGTGATTAAATTAAGTCAGCACTTAGTTTTTAAATTTTGTCCACCTTGAACATCCAATAGTTCCTTACCAGTGCCATGATGTCTGAAATAACAAGGACAATGAGGAAAAGGCTGTAACAGAATAAAAGAGTATTACATTGACAGATACACATTTACCAAGTTTTATTCAAATCTAGAATCCAAATGATGAAATAATCTAACATTCTGTTAACTTCTTTCCTTGCAAAATGCTACTTTCAAGAGTTCATTATACTTCATGACCTGGTGACTAACTCTAGAGTGATAGATTGGCTTGGGAGATTTTTATTAAAAATTCTGAATGCTGACTTCAGTGGCACAGTAGGAACATAATTTGTAATGTACAAGCAAGAAAAATCATTTCTGAAGCCATAGGTATCACTGGAATTATAAATTAAAGTCAAGTCTTACTTGAAAGTGTTTCCTTATTACAAATAGTCAGCCATCTCACTGGTCAAATCAAGCTTGATACAGTAACAAGCTTAAACAAAGGATCTGAATATTGTCTGCTCAATATCAGTATTATAAAAAGAATTCCAGTCTATTTTAATTGACAAGTTTAAATGAATTTAGGCATGGACAGCTAAGAAACATGGCATATAACAAGTACGTGTAAAATGCACAGAAATTTTCCCCTGAAAAAGAAAATGAGATCTAGTTAAAGATGTGATGAGAAAAATCACCTCTCATATACTATCAAGACTTACTGAATTGAGTCTGTGATCTTATCAGCATGGGTTATTCCATCCACAGGTACGGATTGCAGCTCTTCCTGTACAATTCTCCTTCCATACTCTACCACAGAAGAGTTATTCAAGGCAAGACTTACTCAAGACTTACTGTCTTTGGGATTCTAATTTAGTACCTGAGCTCTATCTATTGTTTCTCCTTTCTGATGCATGATACACCCAAATCCTTTTCCACTCATGTAAGCCCTGGATGTCTCTTATGACACTTATAAGTCATGGGCCTTTGGGGTTACTTATGATTTTGCTTCTTCTAAGATTGTTCTGATCAATGGTTCAGAATCATATATCATCAACAGGAGAATATGAGTGCAAAAGAGATGAGTTTCTGAGCAGTGTGGAATCAATAAGAGCACTGTGAAATTCCCCAAAGGTGATCCAACCCAAACTCAACCTCAAATTAAATTTTAGGTCCAACTCACTATCATTCTTCAATGCCCATGCAAGAAACATAAAATTATAAAGAGAATTGATGGGGCTGACTTTAGCTACAAATTCCGGTTACTATTTAAAATGCTTCCCAATCCAGCTGTTGCCTATGTATCCAAATTTATTACATATTACTCTACATCATACAATCAATTATCTAACAAAATGGTCACACCTATTGTCTTACATGTGGCAATCTGCTTCCCTGCCTGGATGCAATACTTTCCACCTCTACCTCACAGGATCTCTAGATTTCCTGAAGGCTTAGCTCAAGTACTACTTCCTACATAAGGTCACTCCTGATCCTCTCTACTTCATGCCCCACAGGCACCAGTCCTTTTCTTCTGTGTATGTGTAGTTCCCTTCTTCCTCCCAATAGAATGTAAACTCCTTGAAGGCAGGCTTTGTTGTTGTTTTTCAGTCCTGTTGACTCCTTATGACCCCACTGGGATTTCCTTGACAAAGATACTGGAATAGTTTGTCATTTTCTTCTCCAGCTCATTTGTAGATGAGGAAACTGAGGAAAACAGGGCTGTGACTTGCTCAGGGTTACACTGCTAGTAAATGTCTGAAGTCAGATTTGAACTCATGAAGACAAATCTTCCTGATTTCAGGCCTGACACTCTATCCACCACACCACCTAGCTGCCTTCAAAAGGCAGCTTATTTTTATTTTTACTTTTATTTTTGCATTTGTATCCCCAATGACTAGCACTCTGACTTTTTTCAACTTGGTGGAGTAATAGTGCTCATACTCTTTTGTTATTTTCACCCATAATGTTTGCAAGTGAACATTGTCTTCAAACAAATTGTTCTTGGCTACCATGCTTATCAGCTTGTCAAAGACATCAAATGTTTGTTGACTAAGACAGTTTTGGGACTTTCTTCCTTTTCCTCATTGAATCTACAGTTTTGAAGTAATTAAACTTCTGCTCCAACAGAAGTCCTGCTCCAATTCCCCATGACAGTATCATGGTGGGTTGGTGATGTGGTTTCCTGAATGCCGAAAGAATATTCTCTGGCATATTCTATAGTGGCTAGATAGGTTTCAGTCAGGTTCCCAGCAATGGTCTGTTAGCTGGCTGAAGAAATTTATTAACTATCAGATAATAGATGCCTTTGGTATTGCAGTCAAAGAAACAAAACAAAATAAAATTGCTCCTCATTCCTCTTTGGTTCCCTTCCATTTCCACAATGATGATGGTACCACAGATTATAGTAGAATGGTGGAAAAGGGAGCAGAGGGTGGTAAGACTCACAATTTTTAGACGATCTATAAGTTTATACTTAACTGGTGGTCCTTTAATGTGAGATCTTTGTATAATAAGGAATGAATTAATATGCTACTGAAAAAGTTAATACATATCAATATTGATGTAGTTGGCTTTACAAATGAATAAATGTCAAGTATGTTATGCTTTTAAAAATCAACTTCCCAAGTACGAGGGAGAAGAGATGTCACTAGATAGTTTGCCTGGGAATTTTAGTGGACTACAAACTCAGTATGAGCCAACAGCAATATTTGGTATTCAAAATGCTAATGCGGTCTTAGGTTCACCATAGGAGCTTTAAATTTCTCATGTAAAGCTGGAATGGACCTTTTCTTTTTTTTGGCTAGGCAATGGGGTTAAGTGACTTGCCTAGGGTCACACAACTAATAGGTGCTACGTGTCTGAGGCCGGATTTGAACTGAGGTCCTCTCGAATCCACTGCACCACCCAGCTGCCCTGGAAGGGACCTTTGAGGCCAATGATTCCAAATCAGTTTGAAGTGAGAGGTGTATTGCCTAGGCCACAGAAGATGATAGCACCTCTGGACTCTGCCCTAGTCAGAACATGTATGTTAAGTTCCAGGTGCCATATTTTTGGAAGGACATTGAGCAGGAGAGTATGTAGATAGGCAACCGGACGGTAAAGGATCTCCAGATCATGCCATATGTGGATGATTAAAGAAACCCAGGGATGTTTAGACTGAGGAAAAGAAGACTTGGAGGGACATGACAGATGTTACCAATATTTGAATGGCTCAAATAAAGAAGAGGGATTAGACTTGCTCTGTCCTGCTCCAGAGAGAAAGAGGCTGGAAGCTGTAGGTATAAATTTTAGCTCGATGTAAGGAGTGTCTGTCCAACAATTAGATCTGTTTAAATGTAGAATGGATTATCTCAGGAGGCAGTAGGTTTCTTTTCTAGTTGGTTACTTGGTTCAGTGGTAGAAAGAATTCTTGCTCATGTATGGGCTGGACTCCAAGACTTTTGAGGTCACTTTCAACTCTGAGCCTGTGCATTTTTACAGAAGTTTAATATGACATAAAGCAATCATCATGTAAGGATGTGAGGCAAAGCCCCTTCCTGTCATTAAGAATCACCCATTTGTAGTTTGTAAAGGATCAAAATCTTCAAAGATTATGGTCTTGTCCTGATATACATAATTAATGATGTTTAAAAGCAAATGAACCCAGCCTTCCAGGCAACTGAGCTACAGAATTGAGTAAAGTTGTTGGAGAGAGATTTTCAGAGACTATTACCAAGGAGGCTTCTGCTGATTTCTGGCCCTTTCTGAAAAAATGCAGAGTAGTACCATAGGCCAGGATTTCAGCAGAGCCAGAAGCTGCAGGTAGTGGTGCCTACAGCAAAGCAGTGAAACAGCATCTAGAAGAGACTGGGAGACCAAGATCAGCAGGAGCAGTGCAAGAGCATCAGTACTCTTCAGTATCAATAATCAATCAAAACTCTGTGCTATCAGAAGTGTGACTTGCTCCTACTCAAACATGCCTTGGCTGTGTGGGCTCCCAGTGCATATGCCTCTCTACCCAAGAACTCCACAGGTATCCATTCTTCACACTGACACAGTAGGTATATATGGGAAAGTTGGCCCCAGATTTACATGGGAAATGTTTTGTTGCTACTGTTCTGACCATACCATTTTAGTAAATGCCTTTGCTTTGGGCTCATTCTGTCCTTTGGCTAACTGTAGACAAGGTAGGGGCTCAAGAGCTATAATTTTAAGATGAGAGACCCCCAGAGTATCTTGAACTCAGAGCTGGGAACCCAACCTGTGAATTCTAGTTGAGGAGGTATCCTCAAAAGGGCACTACACTTAGATCAGTTCTCTATTTATTGCATAAGTCACCTTCCTCTCTTTATCAAAACTTCAACTCAAATTCTATCTCTCTCACCTAACCAAATTATACACAGAGAAAATGGCATGTCATTCCTCATGTTTTATTGCATTTAAGTGACTAGTTGACAGGATTGTAGCATTGCTTTGGCAAGGCCTGAGCATTCATTAAAAATGCAACTTCAAACACATAGAAATATTCTGCAAAAACACATAAATATCTTTGATTTGACTGGTAATGAGACTTGATATTTTTAAATTAATGACAGAAAGCAATTTTTAATAATTATGGTACATGCATAATAACAACATCCAGATCTCTGTTCTAGTTTAACCTCATCAAGAAGAACATGTAAATTTATGCTAATATTACTTCTCTTTTTCAGCTTAGGATATACAGGATCTTGATTCAAGAATAACAAAACTCTACTAAGATGCTTTAATTTATCTTAAGTGTCTTTCAAGAAGGTTGATCAATCCTGTGCCAATGAGACCATTTTGCTAGTGGAAGGCAAACAGCTCTGCTGACAGCTTCTCCTCCAGAGTCTTGACTGTTTAAAGCGACGTTTCCAAAAAAATTCCCCAAAGCTTTGGAAGAGTGCTTCCAATCCTATTTGCCAAATGCATGGAAGACTGAGAGGATATATGGATTATTTATGGCTAGAAAAGTGAATTTCAAGGTATGAAAAATGAAATAATGCTAATGTAGTTCTTCTAGTTAATTTTATTTAATATATACTTAAGTAAAGAGTCAAATTGAAGGAGTTCTTTAAAATCTCAGAACTCTATAACCCAGGAGACAGTCATTCTGGATAACTGAATTTTCTAGATAGCTGATGATTTGTCTTCTTCAGAATTAAATTTTAAACTTTTATTTGTACCATGTGAATGGAGATCTTTCTAGTATATATATATAAATATATATAAAATATATGTATATTCTTTACTTTTTAAAAAGTATTTTTATCATGAATTAGAAAATTGTCAATAAAGAAGACCATATCCATTTACAAAAGGCAGAAGACTGTGCTTGAAACCAAGAATCAGTTACATATAGCTTATTTTTAAAGAAATATATATTGAATTTAACATGGTAGCACCAATATCTTTTACTTCTAAAACAGAAGATAATAAACATAATTTAACCTTTTTCTTATAAACTTTGGTCTATCATTATGATCAATATTCAGTGATATGCTATCAGGATCTATTGACATGTATAGGATTTTTGCCCCTTTTCTTACTTACCTCAGACTATCAGATCTTCGAAATATTTATTTGCTTTTTATACATTTTAAAATCTCATCTTTTATTTTCAGGCTGTCACCTCTTAGTATTGCTAATGTAATTGTCATAAAAAGTCCCTCTCTATTGTACCTAATTTGTTGTTTGTAGTTTGCTATTCCCTTAATAATAATGATGTTGATGATGATAGGTAGTATTTATATAGTGTTTTTAAGGTTTACAAAGTGTTTTATAAATATTATCTCATTTTATTCTATCAGCCCTGGGAGGTAGGTGCTAGTGTTATTCCCATTTTACAGATCAGGAAACTGAGGCAGGCAGAAGTTAAGTGACTTTTTTGGTAGTACAACGCTAATAAGTATCTGAGGCCAGACCAATGTTTATTTATCACTGTGCTGTTTAGAGTAGCTCTTTACTACATGCATAATACTAAAACTAAAAAAGCACATGTCTTCAGTAAGGCTCCAAACAACTTATTTCCTTTACTGAAAAAGTGAACCCTAACTGAATGAAAGAAAATCTTAAATTTTTGTAGCTGGTAGTTTTTACATGAATGTATTAATAATCATATGAAGCATCCCAAAAACACTTATTCCCATCCAGTAAAAATGACCAAAAATGTTTGGTAACAACTACCTCACCTTTTTGATGACAGTTGTGTTGTTACTTGAATTGCTTCAAAAGCACACATCACAAGAACAAAAGGAATTAAAATCTGTTTAAAACACAAAGGAGACCATGAATCTTTGAAGCATTTGTGAAATAGTTCAAAACAAATACCATTTCTGCGTATGCAAACTTTAAAAAAAATCTCAATTCATCTTTGCAATGTACCACAGTACAACAAACAGTGAAATAATCAGATGCTACCAAAGAAGAAGTGGGTAGAAACCTATTGGAAACAGCTTATAGTATGTTGACTACACCAATAAAAAAAATCTTCATTAGTCACTTAAATGCAGCACAAATGATAAAAGCATCATCATACATTTTATTAAAAGTCTATTAAAAGTCTTTGTTCTATTGAATTCACTAATGCAAATGTTTGAATTATGCCATCAAGAAGAAAATTATTCATGAACAATGCAGCACACTCAAGAACTTCCAGGTTGAAAGAAGGGGAAAGGGAAAGGATGCCAACAATGGGAAGACATTAACAAGGCAAATCAAACAAATTGGGCAGGTAGGTAAACTGGCAGAATAGCTCCTCGATTCCTTTTCTTTTGTTTAATATTTCTATGTTATCTTACAAAGCTATGTTTAAACAGTTCTCTTACTGATTATTCACAAATATAGAATTGATAATATAAAAGTAAATGGAAAGACAAAAATAAGAAAAGGCTTCTAAAATTACACAGCTATTACTAGCACTGTTCATAAGGATAAATACTTTAAAAAATTAAGATATCAAAAAAAAAGAAAATAAAGTTCTTGTAGAAACAACTTTTCCCAAAGCGACAGTTAACAAATATTATTTTTCTAATTATGCTGTTGTTGAACAACAGCAGCAAGGATAACAACAGTTAACAGCCAGCATTCATATAGCACTTTACAAATATCATCTCATTTGATCCTCACAAGAACCCTAGGAGGTAGATGCTATTATTAACCCGTTTTCACAGATGAGGAAACTGAAACAGAGAGAGGTTAACTGACTTTCACAGGGTCACAAAATGTCTGAGGCCACATTTGTACTCAAACTTTCCTGACTCCAGGTCCAGAGCTCGATCTGCTTATACTCCCTAGCTGCCCAGGAGTTACTTCTACTAGGTGTTTCCTGATCTCAACTCTCCATCCATCTCTCACTTCTCTGCTTCTGCCCAGGCTGTTCCCCAAGCAGGGAGGGTTCTCCCTACTTCCCTTCCATCTACTAGAATGCCTACCTTCTTCCAAGGCTTAACTCAAGTACCATCTCCTATGTGAAGCCTTTGCTGATTCTACCCCTCCTCTGAATTAAGTGTTTTCTTTCTCAACAAATTGCTTTATGTAGACTTATATGTGCCCCTGTTGTATTCCCCCCCCCCACCTCTACTCCCTTCTACTCTAAGTTGCTTGAGGGGTTATTTAGTTTGTGTTCTATCCTTAATCCTTAGTATAATGCTTAAACATCAGTAGGCACTTGAATGTTTTTTTTTTATGAATTTAATTGCCTTTGAGTTTGAAGGTTTATTGTGTTGGCTAGAATAATTTTTAAAAGCTGCTAATAGTCTTTTCTAAGACTTATTTATTTTTAAGTAGCATAAGGAGGTGAAAAAACAATCAAACTTTGCTCAGTAAAACTCAATAGGGAGTTAAGAAAAGTTTCAAGTTTTTCACAATACAACAGAGACAGCACTGTGAGAAAAATGTGGAGCATCTTTTTGAAATTTATTATATAGTATTAATAAGAGAACAACAGTAGAAGACACCCTCTGTAAATATGGTACTCAGAATCAGGCCTAACAAATAAATAATTAGGTATCAATCAGTTTTACACAGTAAGTCTTGCAGTTCTGAGGGAACTAATTTCAGATAAAGAAGTTAGTGGTTACATTGAAAAGAAAAGTAATCAATATAAAAAAGGATTCTGCAAATTGTAAAAGACCCATCAGATAAATGAATCACAAAAGAAAACCTTTAAGTCAATATAAACTCCTCTAGACTAGAGGTCCTGAAGCTCTTGGACAGCTATTTAAGTAGATCCACTTATTAACTCTTAATGACTTTCATCAAGTTCCTGACTTTTGATTAAACATTTGCAGAAAAGGCATGGCTTCTTAGAGACGCACGACCCTACTAGGGGAAGGGAGAGGGGGCAACCGGGTCTTCCCTGACTTAAAGCTCATCACTGGGGCATATTTTGGAACTACAGCTGGGTAAAATCCCTAGGGGTAGGACAGTTAGAAAGTTTCCTAGTGAGTTTCTATCACCCCTACAAAGTCTCCCTACACCAATCTGAACCCTTTTAGTCCAATGGACTTGTACTGGAGGTAAGAGCTACTCCCATCACAGAGAGAACCAGTCTAGAGTACCAAGTGCTAATCTTCTTCCCAGGGACAACTAAATGTCTGTGATTTCACAAAACAGGACATAAATCAGGCCTTTTTTTGTATATGCTCTCAAAAAAGACATGATCTTGGACTAAGATATATTACTGGGTCCCTGAAAGAACGTCATTAGCAAGTATAATCACTAACCTTCCACATCATCAAGGATCCCATCATAAAGGGGCTAAACACAGTCAGGAAGCAATATACAGAAGAAGGATCAAAGCTGAGGAAACATCAAGAAGAAAAAAGGATCACTGGAAGGTACAGTGTATTTATAAATGTAGTATTCACTAAAATGCATTTAAGTGAATCCACCAAATGTTAAATCTTATTCAAAACACGAGTATACTGTTCTAGGAGGCTGTTAGTTTTATGATATTAATATTATTAATAGATGACTGGTCAAACAACATTATTTTGGGGTGTCTGCAACATTGTTACCAAGCAACAGGTCAGGGCAACATTATTAATTTATGTAGGTAGTAGAGGCCAACTTCAAAAAGCTTAGGTTCCTTCCTTTTTTGAGAAGCTTTTTCACAAAATTAAGATAGCACTTTCATATATGGCTTTGCATCTGCTACACTAAACAAAATTGTCACCAGTTACAATGCCTTTGTAGAAAAAGTAAGAAAGATTACCTGTTAATAGAAGCTATGTTTCCAGTCCCAAAAAAGGCTGTCACTATGAAGAAAACCTGGACAGAGCTAAGGAAAGAATCAGATAAGTCAGGAATGAGAAAACCCAGGATCCAATCTTCAAAACCCTGGGGTTACCTTAGACTCTTTCCTTTGCATCATCTTTCATACAGTCTCTTTCACATCCAACTTCTCCCCCTTTATTTCCACTAACACTACTCAAAGTGTAGGCCCCTCTTTGCCACCTGCTTAGAGTACTGCAGTAAACCTCCTGGCAATTGTTACCACCTTCAGTTTCTTTCCCCATCCAATACAATGCAGACTAAGTCATCTTATACACAGATAAGAGTTCCTCTTAAAACAGATATTCTTGACAGGAGTTCTATGAACTTGTTTTTTTTTTTAATGAAAATTTTATTTCAATAAAACTGGTTTCCTTTGTAACCTTGCATATTTTACTTTGTGCATTTAAAAACATTAAAAACATAAAGAGGACTATGGTCCATAAACTCCACCATACTGCCAAAGGTGTCTATGATAAAAGAAAGGTTAAGAACTCTTATTCTAAAACTTTTATTGACTCCCTACTCCCTAGCAAATAAAGTTCAAACTCCTAAGTGTAGCATTCAAGATCATCTATGACATGGCACTATTCTACCGAAATTTCTACTCTTATCTCATACTCCTCCTCCTCTAGTTTTACTGCAGGTGGTCCTGACTCTAAGGTCAGCCCTCTATTCACTATATCACCATGCCTCTTTTAGAATATATTAAAGAGTTGTTTTGTAGATATTTAGAAAAAGAAGCAGAGATCACAAAGAGGGATCACAAAGTAGGAAACATGCCAGACTAACCTTATCTGAAAGTCAGTACTCTTAAAGTACATGAGGAACTCTGACATATCTGACCTCCCTGGATCTTCATATTGTCCCTGGACCCTCATTTTATGGATGAGGCTCAAATGGAGGCTCAGAGACATTAATTCATGGTTACAAAATTAATGATTGATAATGAGGAGGAAGAAGATAACAGTAATAATAATAACTCCTAGCATTTATATAATACTTTATGCCTTAACAAGTGCTTTACGTACATTATGTCATTTAAGACTAACTACAACACAATGAGGTAGTTGCTGTTATTAAGCTCATTTTGCAGTTGAGGAAAGTTGCAAGGCTGAGAGACGCGGAAGTGCCTTGCCCAGGGTTACAAAGCTAGGTATCATCTGATGCAGGATTAGAACTCAGTCTTCCTGACTCCAAATCCATCACTCTGTCTACTCCTTTAAGATGCTTCTCAAATTATCAAATATCAGAGTTGAGATTCAAACCCAGGTCATTCTTGACTATTCTGTGTAGAGGAAGAGGTCCTAGACTAGGAAGCCAGAGGCCTGGGTTCTAATACATTTTCTATCAGTAACCAGATGAGTTTTAATGGAAGCACTGAAACTTTCTGAGCTTGAGTTTTCTGTCAAATTAAGAGGTTTGGAGAAGATCTCCACACAACTACTTAAAGACCTGTATCTGTAATTGATTATAGGACGACCTCACCCAGATGTCACAGTGGATGTTCCTGGTACTCAAAATGTCTCAATACGAACTAATTTTCCCTAAACCTGCTATTATTTTTTATTTTATCCTTGCCTTTATGCTAGGACATAAAATTCACTGAGTTTCTCATTCAAAATCTTAGTGTTACTTTTTATTTTTTACTCTTCCTTAGCTTTCATATATAATAATCAAGTCTAACCATGTCATACCCCCTACTCAATAAACTCCAGAAGCAGCTTATCACCTCCAGGATCAAATACAAAATGCTCTTTTTGGCATTCAAAGACCCATAACATAGCCCCCTCCTACCCTTCTTATACCTTATTTCCTGTCAAATGCTTTTCAACTCCGTGACGCTGGTCTCCTGGCTGTTCCACAAAGGAGACACTGCATTTCTCAGCTCTGAGCATTCTTTCTGGCCATCCCCCATGCCTGGGATGCTCCCCCATTTCATCTCTCTCTCCTGGCTTCCCTGGCTTCCTTCAAGTCCCAACTAAAATTTCATCCTCTACAGGAAGCCTTTCCCAACCCCTCTTAATTCTAATATCTTCCCTCTTTTACTCATTTCCTATTTATCCTGTATATAGTGTGTTTGGATATATTTGTTAATTTGCTGTCTCCCCTGTTAGACAATGAGCTCCTTGAGACAGGGACTGTTTTTTACCTCTTTTTGTATCCCTAGCATTTAGCACCATAGTAAGTGTTTCATAAATAGTTATTACCTGACTTATCAGTTATCTCTAAATCCAATTAGCCACCTCTACAATATCTTTCACACCCATTCTTTTTGGCTTCTACTGCCACAGTCTTAACTCTTATAGCTTGCCTAGTCTATTTCTACAGACTCTCAACAGGTATTTTCACCTCCACTCCAAGATGGTGGTGATTGTGCCTTATTTAAACTTTGTGATCTGTATTTGTGGAGGGACACCAACGCTTAAAAGATCATGGACCCTCAAAGCACTTAGGTAAAGCCCCATTTAACACTTGGACTGTCCAGAGCTCCTTCCTCCTCACCGAAAGTGTTAAAGGAGAGGTTAAGAGAAGGGCTCCCCTTAGAATCTTAATGTGATGCTTCATTGTTAGTTTTCAGATGTTGTGCCAAGAAAATGCAGACTTTGGGAGCAGCCACACCTGGAAAGGCTTTGTGTATGGGCCCATACTGGCTATGCATTTTATCTGAGATTTTTCTTCCATACTTCCTCGTGTAGCACATGATTAGTAGTTCTGGCCATAGAAGCTCATTTTAAAACACTACTAAACTGTGGAAGTGCTGTGACCTAAATCAGTCAAGGGAATACCCATATGGATGAAATAACTGATCCTCAAAGTAAGAAGAAGATGTAAAATTTGAATGTAAGCTCCTTAAAGGCAGGGACTATTTTTGTGTTTTCTTGGTATTTTCAGTGCTTGGCACAGTGTCTGATATATATACAGGCAGAGTTCAATAAATGTTTATTGGCTGATTGATTAAAATGGATAAGTTAGGCAGTGGAATAGGTTCTTAACCTAGGGTCCACAGAGAGATTTCAGAGTGGTGAACTACTTGGATAGAGAAAAAAATAAACCTTTATTTTCACTGATGTCTAATTGAAATTTTGCATTTCTTTTCATTTTGAATGCAATTTGAATGCAAAATAGCCTTCTGTGAAGTGGAATCTGTGGGCTTCACCAGACCACAAAATAGATTCATGACATGAAAAAGTTGAGAACTTGATCTAAAATCTTTTCCGGTTCAAAAAACTCTCTAAGACGTCAATTCATATAGCATGAAATGTCAAATATCAAATTCTGTATTGTCTAGATTACATGACTCAAGTACAACACATCTTTCAAAAAATATTTATTGTAGGACTTACATGGCCTTGAAGACATATTTAAAGGAGACTAGTTAGGATGCTCACACTAAGACTTTAGAGGGACAAGGGGAAAAAGCATTTGCAAACTCTTCTTCCAATTTACTTCCCGGAAAGGAACAAACAATTACCATTCTTTTTACTTGTTCTGTGTGCTAATGGCTAACCATTTGACTTTTCTATGGATTATGTTGTTTATTATCTGGAGACGAGAAATTGTAAAATTAGAGATACCAAAGGCATAAGAAAAGTTCATCAGGTTTGGCCAAATTCATTCTTACAGTATCATCTATGGGTCACTTGATAGAATATAGGGGGTCCTAGTTATTTAAGTCTACCTCTTTTTTAGGTAGGTTAAGGTTCTAGAGCAAGGGGAATCATAAGCTGTATGCTGTTTCTAAGTTTTGCAACACAGTGAAGTGGTATGTCACTTCGGATGTTTAGATGAGCAGCTGACTTTTCTTTCCCAAGGCTAACAACAAATGATAGTGAAGAATTAACATAAAATTAAAAGATATTAAAAAATAGAACTAATGAGTGGGGCACTCCAGATGGGCAAATCTCAAAAGCTCTGCTAATCAACTAGGTAATTCAAGACAAGGTCCCAACTGGAAAGACAACTGTTGAAAAAGAAGCCAAATGTGAGACATAAAAAAACAGTCCTTCAAAAAATATCTAGAGATTTGCAGAATTGACTATACCAGAAAAAATATAACATTCTACCAAGAAAGTGAAATGACTATTTAATTTGATGTCATGTCTCTTTAAAACAAGAATATTAACAAAGGATACAAAGAAGAAGGACCTACGGATGTCATCCAGGTGGAGTTGCCGGAATTGAGTTATATCCATATTATAGGCAAAATGGATACTGGTGAGCTGTGAAAGTAGTAAGAAAAAAAATCAATATATGATATCCTCTTGGTTTACCTGGAAAATAAATGGTAAATTTATAGGGAAGTGAATGAAGAATTAGTCCATTCCTATTTATACTAGCTAGAATGGTATACCATACTGAAACTTTAGTGATAAATCTTTTTCTAGCTTAATTGTACTTTAATAAAATCTTCCAGAAAGGCATTGTATATTGCCAATGTTATACTGAACCCAGTGGTATTCTAGTGTTTTATGCACAGAATAGAAAGAAGCTGTGTTTTGCTTAGTCTTCTAGTTTCCTTCACTTTAGACTGGTTTCTCATAAGAACCCTTTATCACAAGGTGAATTTACATGGACAAAAGTTTCCATTTAAATCCAGATGAAGGATGGAATGAAAAAATATTGTATAGTGAAAGATTTCTTAGTTTCTCTCTTTTACTGTCAATAAGCTTATACAAACATAACCCTCTCCCAGTTAAGAGAGCAGTGAATGTTCTTTCACTGGTAAAAATTACAAAGGTATTAAATTCCTCTGCAGCAGGTTCACTTTCTACTGTTTTGCTTGGCAGTAGCAATCAGAAGTCAAAGATTAGGCATAAATTTAAATAATTTTCCCCTGTATTATTTTTAAAATAAAGCTGTTCATATATTTTTCCTACTCTTATCAGGAAAAGTAAGGTCAGATTTATCAACAATGAAGTTGAATTCCAAACTTAATACCTCCCCCAAAAAACAAATATGTGCTTGTTTTCATTTTGTATCTATCATGTATACAATTTTGATATGTACATGCTATCTCCCAACAGAATGTAAGCTCCTTGAGAGCAGGGACCATTTTGTTTTTGGATTCCCCATTGCCTAGCACAATGCTTGGCACACAGTAGGCATACCTGTTGATTGAATAATAACACAAATAATATCATTCTATTTGTACCATAGTTTTGAAGATATAAAATACTATTTTAGGAACTGTGCTTATAAGATGGGACTGTAAACCCTTCAGAGCAGGGACTTGGTCTTTTTATCTCCAGCACCTAGAAAAGTATCTGGCCCCTAGGTGCTAAATAAATGGTTGAAATCAGAACAATAGAGGGTCAAATGATATAAAGGTTATGAAGGAGAATCTCTAACTCTATACTTAATCCATACAAAAACACCATTTCACTTAAAGTTTATAAGCTGCCTACATGAAATTTAAAAAGAGTCGTCATACAATCAACTACAATGAATTTTCCTGTTTTATTTTCTCCATTTTTTCCTTCCCCAATAAGCCAATATTAATTCCTGTTATCTCAGGCAGAACAGTTGATTGAAAGAATTTTACAGTAGCATTTCCTTCAAGTGCCCTTAGTAAAAATTTTGTATTTCCTTGTACTGATTCTATGTAATTATGAGTAACATTTCTAAGGAAAGAGGAAGGTTACGATGTCATTCCACCTAACTAGCTCAGTTTGACAAAATGTCGTTAGAAGGTGGAACGGCTTGAACAATTCTAAGTGTATTCTATTAGAGAAATCATCTGAGATGGGACCCTTAGGCACTGATGTGATGGAGAAAACATTTTGAAATGAGATGGTTAGGAAAATAAGAGTAAGACAGTGAAGTTACAAGTCACTTAGGGTCAAATTCATAGATCTGTAAATGACAACACAATGGTCTTTTAGACTAGAAAAGAAGAAAAAGAAAGGGGTGGGGGAAAAGGGGAAATAACATAAGGACATTTCTTCTTTTCTATTTCTCTCACCTATATTGTTTTTCACTTTGCATCATTGATTTTATGCAGTAGATTGCTAGAAACACTTGAAATTCCATACTACCTGCTTAACAACAAGCCTACTCTTATTTGTGAAGGCTGACAAATCTCTTTAGAAACTGGTTGTTTAAAAAAATTTGACAAAAGCTATCAAATGATTGACTAATGACTTCTATTTAATCAGAAGGTAACTTACAATAAACTCTGAAAATTTAAGTGATGAAAATCTTTAATGAAATGATACTAAAAATTTAGAAGAGAATAAATGTGACTTTTGTATTCTCACATCTACAGTAGAATGGTCCTGAGATATTACCTTTTGTGTACAGGAAACACCTGACTGTTGCAATGTTTCTTGTTCCATGCATATCCAAACCAACATTAAGCATGACAACACAAAGGGAAAGAAAGCTTCATACCTATGACAGAAAAAACACAAAACAAAACCATATATATAATGCTAATCTATATACCATGTATATCAATTAGTCAAACCCGTACTGATACCACTTTTAAAATGAAAGCAACAGCACTAAATATTTGCCCTAAAACTGTACATTATTATCATTATCACCTCATATTTACATGGTGCTTTATAGTTTTATCTGACTTTGGTAAGACAAGTTATTATATCCATTTTACAGACAGGGAAATTGAGAGAAAGTTAGAATAACCTATCCATAGTCAACATAATTAATGTGTAGGGATAAGAGGTGAAGGTGAAGGTGGGGGGCATAAGGCTGTTGAAAGAGTTAAAGGACCTGGCTCTGTTACTTAGTAAGCTGTGTGATGCTGGGCAATCACTTAACCTTTCTGGGCCTCAGTTTCCTTATCTGTAAAATGAAAGGACTGGGCTATATGACCTCTAAGGTACTCCCTAGTTCTAAATCTATGATACTACAAATATATTTTTTTGAATAGGAAGCTTAAAAAATATCCTTTTGCTTTCTCCTCAAATGTTTCCAAAAAATGAAATGCTATAAACCTCACAAAAATAAGAAGAAACAAACAAACAAATCTAAGCTTGTTCATGAATATTTATGTTGGAGAAAATAAACTACAATTATTTGATGGAATGGATTTGGGATACCTATTTCTTTAAGGCTCTTTAAGGTTCTTTAAAGCTCCAATCTGAGCTCTTCTGTGGAGGCATCCCTAACAATGCTCACCCACAGTCATATCTTTCTTTTTTTTTCTAATAATTTTTTTTGATGAGGCAATGGGGTTGTGACTTGTCCAGGGTCACACAGCTAGTGAATGTTATATGTCTGAGGCTGGATTTGAACTCAGGTCCTCCTGACTCCAAGGCCAGAGCTCTATCCACTGTGCCACCTAACTGCCCCATTCTCTAACCATTTTTACACTTAGTGTCGGCACCACATAATTTAGCACTTACTTCATATTAATTACTATTTTATTCACTAATTGCTTCATGTGTGTATGTCTTATTTACCCAAAAGGACTGTAAGTTTTGTGTTGGCAGCATTGGAACCTTGGTTTAATTCTAGTCTCAATGCCTACATCCTTACAAAAGATATATGCATTTCATAGCAAAAGTCCTATGAAAGAGGCTGAGGATAAGAAGGTTCTGAACCAGTAGAATCCTCTGTCCTATCCTTGGGATGGACATTTGCTGTCTGTCTCATAGGATTCTTGGGGCAACGAGGTCAAATATACTCTGTTAACAGAGCTCCAAATACTTTGAAAGCCAGATCTTAAAACTGTGTAGATACACAAAGGGTGGGGTTGCTTGGGAAGCCAGAAACTCTGCCCAATAAAAAGCAGCAATTAACATGGATATACACAGTCCTTGAAAGCTTCCAGTTGTTACCATCACCCAGAGTACCCACCACCTGGTCAAATTTGGGTTCTTCTCACTCCTTTTGGGCAAGCAGGGACTACATCGTATTTCTTTGCATCACTCTTGGAACTCATCACATTTTGGGGTAAATATTTGTTTATTGATTAAGAGAATTAAAAAGGCAAGTTCTAAGCAGATGGGGCCATTGACTTTTAGACTTTTACAATGAAGCCTGAAAATGGCATTTTTTTTTGTTCCTAGCAACATAAGTACAGTTGGTCTGCAAATGGCCTACTGGATTTACTTTCATTACAGGATCATATGCATAAAGCACTTTAACATGGTAAAGCTGCTTTCCTCACAACTTTGTGATGTAGGTAATGCAATTATCACTATTTTCATTTTACTATTGAGGAAACCAAATTTCTCAAAGGTTAAGTGACTTGCCCAAGATCACATAGCCATCAGGTCTGGCCCCAGGTCTCCTGAGTCCAAGCCCAGAGCTCTTGATTTTTTAAAGTAAATTGTTATCTATAGGCTCTGTACACATATACATATATACACATATGCACATGGAATATTGGGTAATATATACACATACAGTATATACATATATACATATTACATATATACATATATTATACACACTTATAGACACATATTAGGAGTTAGATAATATATATATATGTGACATATATACACATACACACGCATTAGATAACATACACACATATCATATGTACTATACATACACATAATACACACATATATTATATACTTACATATACATATGTTATATACACCTGCATGCATATACACACATATATGCACGAACAGTCTGTTATACAACATATGCAGAATATGTATAACATGTACACACTTTATACACACACATGTACAGATTGTATATTAGATAACATACAGATACATGTCATATATATTTCCATACACACATACTATATAATACAAATACACACATGTATAGATGCATATATATGAATACATATATTATATAACATAAATATATGTTATATAACAATGTATTATATTGTGTATGTACATACACATGCAACCCAATATATACATAAACATATACATATACACACAATAAAATCTCATTTATTTGAGTCTTACTAATTTGATTTTTATGAAATTTAGCCAGTTGTCCAATGGAAACTTTTTCTATAGTAGTTTTGAAAAGAATTTGGTGGGCAAATACACAACAACAACAAAAAAAGAGTTTCATGAGAAGAGAACAGAATGTTTTTAAGCACATTTATCTAGGCAAAAAGATTAATATGCTGATTAAAAGTGACTCTTAGCTTTTCATTAATGCAAGGAAATAAGACCTCTGTGTGATAATTCTGGATTAAGGATAAAGTTTTATTCTAATTTATGTATATGTGTATCATAAAATAAAAAACTATTTTCCTTTTAGCTCTTCTATATATATGTCCCTATTAAAAAAAATAATTCAAACCAACCTTCCCAGGCAGTCTGAAATGGTTGACACTAAGCCATCTGGTTGTACTATAAAATAGACTACTCTATTCTAAAAATTAAAAAATTAAAAATTCTTTAAAAAAAGTAAATTTCATTAAGGATTATAATTGAAATTGTAATTAAGTGTAATTGTAGCTAGAAAATAAGCGAAAATTTAAAAATTATGGTTAGAAAAATCATTTACAATTTGTTAAGGATTATAGCTGAAATTGTAACTCATTGTAATTAACTATAATTGTGGCTGGAAAATAAATGAAAATTTAAAAATTAGGGTTAAAGTTACTATACTGCTCCTGTAGAATGCAAACTTCATAAGGACTGCTTTTTATTCTGCCTTTATCTCACCAGTGCCTAGCCTATAGTAATAGCTTAATAAATGCTTGTTGGATTGAAACTGCATCACACCATTTATTTCACAGTAAAAAGTGCCCTGCACAGCAGGGGGACTCAGATGGCAGCTTGAGGAGAAATGCCAGAGTGATCACTGTGGGGTGGGAAGGGGGTGCACGTCCATCCTCAGTTTGTCATTGCTTTTGAAACCACTGCAGCCTCCTCTAAATCTGCGCTTGTGGTTCTGATGGTTCAAATGGGAATTTATCAATTCCTCAGTTACTTGGCCAGTCTGAGAATAGTGTTGGGCCTATCCACTGAACACACTATTTGTTTCCTTAAGTCCATCTGGTTTTTGGCCACCATGTGTTTGGGTATGAAATAATGGTCTACCGAATGAATGAAAAAAATATTTTCTAAGCACCAGTTGCTAGGAATGGACAGCTGCGGGGCTAGGGGGTGGGGGGAGGGCGGGACAGGACAACAATGGATAGAGTACCAGGCTTGGAAGCAGGAAGACTCAACTTCCTGAGTTCAAATCCTGCTTCAGACACTCTCTAGCTAAGTGACTCTGGGGAAGTCACTTAACCCTGTTTGCCTTAGTTTTTCCATCCGTCAAATGAGCTGGAGAAAGAAATGGCACACCACTCCAGCACCTTAACCAAGAAAACCCCCAAAGGAGTCACAAAGAGTCAGACATAACTGAAAATGACTGAACAACAAGATTGGGAATACAAAACAGTCTTTGTCCACTATGAGCTTGAATTCTAGTGGAGGAAACAAAACATATGGGGGAATGGTGGCAAGGATAGTCATTTTGGTTTAGAGTCAAGGATAGTAAGTAGAGGCATAGGGGTGACATACTCTTTCCAGGAATAAGGACAGAGGTAACACAAATAAACAGGGGCAGGATGGAGGGTGCTTGTTGGTGGGAGGATGGTGGGGGACTGAAATGAAGTGTGGCTTGGACAAGCAGGGGAAGGAAGTTATGCAGCATAATTGCAGGAAAATGTTGTGGCATGATTTATGCTCCTATGTAGACATGTCTGCTTTTGAAGCTAAGCCCTGGTCCTGACTTGCAAAATATAGCCAGAGTTGGCTTAAAGACTTTTAGCTTAGGCTTGGCCTTGTCTCCTCCCTTAAACACCGTAGATACTAGTATTTGCTTTGAACTGAGCCTGTAATCACCCAACCGACCTTGAGCTGAAACGGAATCACAGGCTTGCTAAAAAAAAAAAATAGACTTAAAAACTGTCCCTAAGTCCTAGAAGTACTAGCTCCATAGGATCATATTAACTGGGGACAAGCTGGAGATAAGACAGATCCCCTATAACTAACATAGATCAGAGGAACATAGATTTAGACCTGGGACAGACCTTTGCTGCTGTTCAGTGCCGTCCAATGCTTTGTGACCTTATGGACCACAGTACGCAAACGCTGTCCATGGGGTTTTCTTGGCAAAGATGCTGCAGTGGTTTGGCATTTCCTTCTCCAGTGGATTAAAGCAAACAGAGATTAAGTGACTTGCCCAGAGTCACGCTTCCAGTTAGTGTCTGAGACCAAATTTGAACCCAGGTCTCCCTGACTCTCACCCCGGTGCTCTATCCACTGAGCCACAGACCTTAGAGTTCATCACGTCAAATGGCAAACCACTCCACTATCCCTTTGAGCCAAATAGCTGTCTATTTTTTTTTTTTGCTCTTTTTGGTCTGGATCTGTGATTTCATCAATGTGGGGAACTCCTGGTATCGGAACTCCTTCCACTGATGTGGAACTTTACAGATGAGGAAACTGTGTCTCACAGAATTTACTTGCCCCAGATCATACCACTAGTATGTGGCTGAGACAGTACAGGAGTTCAGATGGAAAACAAATCCTTAAATGCAGAATTCTAGGAAAAGCTAAATAGCATATTACACCACAACACACCCCTTAAAAAAACCCAAAACCTAACACCTTAAATATGTCGTATCTATAAATTTATAATTGTTTAAACACTGAGATAGGAAGATTTTTAAAAACTGTGAAAATACAATCTAACAAGTAAAGTATATACCCTGTGCTCAACAGCAGATAGGTTGACATCAAGGAGAGAAGTATGCTAAGTAATCGCTGAAAGACAATCGTGGGACCCAGTAATGGTACAACCAAGGAAGAGGCTGAAAATAGAAAGGAGATCACATGTCACTGACATGAAGATGTAGGAAATATATTAAGTAAAGGCACAGAACAATTTAGAATAATTACAGGCAAGTGTTATGCACGAAGATTTAATCTAGGCCTATGTTTGCCTTAGTCGTTTTTATGAAGAAATATGTTTTAACATTTTTTTCCCCTAACAGTCAACAGATACAAACATTCAACATCTCACTGATTTGTGTTCTCATCGTTGTAGGTACTCACACCAACGTTGCAGCTCACCACCCATCCCTACTTTCTCATTATGGGCAGCTTTTGTCTATGCTCTTCAGTAAATCCTCCACAGGGGATCCGGCCAACTGTTGGCCTGGACATGTGTAAACATTATGAGGTGTGGCTATTCAGAGAAACCTATGGTTCAGAGGCCAGTCTTTTTTCTGACAGGCTGTATTCTCCTGAGCTCACTGGTTAAGGCAGGGGAGTTGGAATTCTCCTTGCTCCCTATTTTCACTTACAGGTTCTCCTCCTACCTCCATCACTCAATAACCTCTCTTCCTTTGAAGTTCATGCTATTCATTTCTACCACCCAATCAAAATCCTGGTAGCTCCTGTCTAGAGACTCCCAGGTTGCTTCTTTTCCTTCCTCAATGAGTTTGATACCTGACTTATAATTTTTCTCTCCTTCCTAACTCTTGCACTCATACTAGGGGCCTTCAATATGCATATTGGTTCTCCCTCGCATACCCAAAGCCCTCAGTTCCTCAACCTGCTCACCTCCCATGAGCATCCTACTCCTCCACTGTAGGTGTTTTCTAGCTGAGATTACCTTCCACTGTTCTTTATGTATCTAGTGGTTTATATATTGTTTTTCCTATTAGAATGTGAGCTCCTTGACTGTAAACATTGTATGTTTCACCTTTCTTTGTATTTCTAGACCCTAGAACAGTGTCTGACACATAGTAAGTGCCTAATAAATGCTTCTTGACTGACTGAATCTTAAGTGATATTCCACCCTGCCCCCATCAGAGGTTAGAAACCAGTCAGATGCACCTGAGACACTCCTCTCTTAGTTAGGCAGCTAGGTGGTGAAGTGGACGGAGTGTAGTACTTGACGTTAGGATAAACCTGAGTTTGAATCCCGCCTCAGCCATGTATTAGCTGTGTGATCATGGACGAGTCACTTAACCACGGCCTGCCTCAGTTCTCTCATCTGTAAAATGGGGATAATAATAGCACCTACCTCTCAGGGTATTGTGAGGATCAAATGTGTTAACATATATGAAAAGTAAATTTTAAAGCAATATGTAAATGCTAGTTTGTGTTGTTGCTCTTGTTGTTACCTGGTCCTCTTCCTCATTCCAAAATCTTTCTGCCACATGGGATAGATCAGGAGTTCAGCATGGAAGAACAAAAAGACTGACCCAGATCTTGTCACTACCTCTGTGGCTAGGGTGCAAGGGTACCTCTTACCTACATCATCAAACCCTTTCCCCCTGCTGGGCCTGAAAATCAATACACCTAAGGCTGAACCCCTTGCATCCTGCTCGCTTCAGAGACCTATCTGTAGCTTTGTCTTTTGGATGAGAGTAACATTGACGTATCTTTTTCCTCCCGTCTCTGGCTCTTTCCATCACCCTCCAGCTGTTTAAAGGCTTTCCCTTGTGGGAGGTGAAATGTACCCATACTGAAAGGGCCACTGCTTTTAGCATTATTTACTGGCTTTCTTCTTTAGATATAAATCTCTAAATATCCCCCAAAGGAGCTGCAATGGTCTAAGAATTATAGGCATCCATATTTAGTACGTTGGGCATATTTAAGTTTAAGATGTGTCTCACTATAATAACATTAATTTTAAAACATTCATTATGTCATACCATTTGGCAGATGAAATAGAAATCATAAAGTAGTTTCAATATCTCCAAATTCACCCAAACTAGAATTTATATATCAATTTAAAAAGTAATTTTAAGTCTTGATAGTTAGCCAAGTTATTGGCTATCTTGTATTTTAATAAAGACTATATTCTTGATTAATTTGTTTAATATGATTGGCCAGAAGTTGTTTTCCCCATTAATAAAGCAGAAATGTTAATAGTGAAAATGAGACAACATATGTAAAATGCATTCTAAATCTTGAAGCATTAAAATAAGCATTAGTTAAAATTGTGATGAAGACTGCTCAGAATATGAACGGGAGAATGCCCCACTGGAGACCATCAAGCAAAGACAAGATGACCACTTGTCAGTTATGGTACAGAAGGGATTCTTGTTTAGGAATAGGTTGCAATAGGATGTCTTTCCCTCTGGGGTCTTGCCCAACTCTTAGATTCTGAAACTTAACTAAACCAAGAGTTATATTAGTTTTTTTCTTACACAGTGAAGAAAAATACCAAACAACTTTTTGGGAGCATGAGGTAGCAGTAAAAGGCATTCTTTTTTTTACCTCATTAAATATATTTTCATGGCCACTGCATTGTAAAAAGTTTACTCAGTTTCTCCCATTTACCTAGTGAACTTTTTATTATTATGATTAAATCTCTGCTCTCTGTGGTTAAATCTATGAAGAAAGTCCCATTTAAAATAATTTATGTTACTGTGAGACATTGATTTAGCAAACCTACTTTTATGACACATTTTAGACCATTAATTTTTGTTTACTACATAGTGTGGATACAAACTGCAAAACACAAGCTGGATGAAGGGACACAAGCCCTCTGATGTAACTACAATGAAGCCTCATCCCTCTAGTGTTGGCAGTAAAGCAAGTATGGGGGCAATTATCCAGGGTGGCAGCACAGGGTGTAACATGCAGGTGCAAAGACTCTTTTTTTTTTTTTTGCAAGGCAATTGGGGTTAAGTGACTTGCCTGGGGTCATACAGCTAGCAAATGTCAAATGTGTATTCTGAGACCAGATTTGAACTCAGGTCCTCCTGACTCCAGGGCCGGTACTCTAGCCACTGTGCCAACTAGCTGCCCCCCTCAAATACTCTTGACACCTGGCAAATGTACCTGAAGGAAATGACACATAAAGGTGAGGGTTGGGAGAAGACATTAGAGATTGAGCATAAAAGGAACACCAGCAATAGTAAGGTGTTGATGGTTAAGAATCAACAAGTATTTTTAAGTCAACAAGCATATAAATACTTACTATGTACCAGGCACTATTATAAGTACTGGCAATACAAAAAAAAAAGGCAAAAAAGAAGTCCCTGCTCTCAAGGGGCTCATGTCTAATGGAAGAGAAGAGTGTTCCAATGAGATGTTACTGAGACAAAAAATGAAGTGTGTCAGTTGCTTTCAGTGTACACAAGAGAAAGTGGTCTTGGGCTCAATTTAAAAAGGTAGTGCCTAGTAACTGGGGATTCTAGGTCCCAGTGTCTTAACCTACACTGTGCATCTGGGTGTCTCCTTAGTGGTTCCACAGGCTTAGAAAGTGACTCAAGTCCTATGCTGGTATGCTCCTGATTGAGGGGCTGGGAAGTCTATTGGTTTGGTCTGCTCAGGAATGAGGAAATGCTGGAGTAGAAACGAGCTGAATTATGATTGGGGTTCACAACAAGTGTTGTCCTCTAGGCATAAGTAGGAACAATAAACCTTTAATATGCTTACAGGATGCTTTCCTTTCCCTAGAACTAAGAAACCTAATGGATGAGGTCATAAATTATATTAAGAAAAATTTGATAGATATGAGAAAGGATGCAGTACACATTCTTTATGATATTTTCTCAATTGCTTTTTTTTTGTGGTAGTGGGGTGAATAATGTCTGCCTTCTACTTAGCTGCAATGTTTTTATATTTAAAAATTTTTAATTTATAGAAAAAATATTACAATTAATATGATTCATGCCTTCCAGAAGTATGTTAACTTCCTGCTTACTGGCCCAAAAGCTCACATTTTGTTAAGTTTTTCTGCATCTACTGATATGATTGTATGATTTTTCTTGATTTTGTCATTAATATGGTTAAGTCTATAGTTTTCCCAATATAAAACAAACCCTACATTCCTGGTATAAAATCCAACTTGGTCACAGTACATAAACCTTGTGATATGTTGTTTTAGTCTCATTGCTAACACGTTATTTTAAAAAATTGCCTATTCATTAGGCACATTGATCTATAGTTTTATTTTTCTATTTTCATTGTCCCTAGTTTCTGTGTCAAGAGGATATTAATGTCATAGAAGGAATTTGATAGGATCTTTCCTTTTGCGATTTTTGTAAACAATGAATGTAATATTGAAATTGTGTTTTATATTTTATATTTTATAATTCACTTGTGAATCCTTCTGGTCCTGGAGTTGTTTCCTCAGATGTTCATTTAAGTCTTGTTCAATTTCTCCCTCTGAAATTAGGTTGTTTAAATTCTGTTTCTTGTTCTGTCAATTTGAGTATATCTTTGTAAATATTCACTTATTCATTAAGTTGTTGGTTTTGTTGGTATACAGTTAGGCAAACTAATTTATGATATAATATACTTTGTTTTTTCATTTGTTGTATATTTTCCTTTTTCATTTCTGATACTGGTAATTTGGTTTTCTTTTTTAATCTAGTTAGCTAATGGTTTATATATTTGATTGGTTTTTCTTGAAAAATGAGCTCCTAGCTTGATCAATTCAATGGTTTCTTTGTTTTCAATTTTGTTAATTTCTTTAACTGTCAGTATTTCTATTTTGGTACTCAATGGAGGTTTGAAAATTTGTTGGCTTTCAAGTATTTTAAATTTTATTTCCAATTCTTCAATTGTCTTTGGCTAATAAAAGGGTTTAGAAATTAAAAGAACTCCAAGAACTGCTTTGGCTGCATTGCAAAAAGGTTGGAATATTGTACCACTGTTGTCATTAACTTTAATGAAATTTTCTCTTGTTAACTATGATTTTATTTTTGATCTATCAATTCTTCAGGATTAAATTATTTGGCCTCCAGTTAATTTTTAATACTTTTTTTTTCCAGGGGCCCTTTACTTACTATAATTTTTATTGAATTGTGATCATTCAAAGATTTGCAAAATATTTCTACTTTTGTGCATTTCTGAAGTTTTTATGTCCCAACACAAGATCAATTTTTGTTAAGGTGCTATGTATAGCCAAGACGTAAATATACTCCTTTCTATCTCACCTTGATAACTTCCAGTTCTATCATATCTAGTTTTTCTAAAATTTCCATTCATGTTATTAACTTCTTTACCTTTTCTTTTCTTGTTAGATTTATTTAAAGCTGATATGAGTAAACTGTGAACCTCTGTTATTATAGTTTTGTTGTCTAGTTTTCCTTACAACTCATTTAGTATTTCTGTTAAGTATTTATAAACTATGCCATTTGGTGCAAATATATTAAATAAGGAAATTAATTCACTGTCTATATTACCTTTCAGCAAAATGTAATTTCTGCTTTATCTCTTAGAATTAAGTCTATTTTTGTTACTGCCTTGTCTGAAAACAAAGTATTTTTGCTTTTTTTGTTGTTGTTGTTCACCTAAGGCATCATAGATTTTCTTCCAACTCCTTATTATAACTCTGTGTGAGTCTTTGTTTCAAGTGTGTTTCATGTAAATGACATATTGTTGGACTTTGCTTTCTAATCCATTCTGCTAACCTCTTTTGTTCTATGGGTGAGTTTATCCCATTAACATTCATAGTTATGATAGTTAATTATTTATTTTCCACCATTTTAATCTCTTATACTTTTTCTTCTCTATTCTCTTCTCTCTATACTTCAAATGATTACTTTTTCTTCCCCCCTGACATTTTCCCCTTTTCTTTACTATCCCCTCCCCAAGTTTAAAGTTTATTTTGCTTATGACTATTTCCTCCCAGAATCTACCCTCCCTCTTATATTCTCCTTTCATCTCTTCCTGAGCCTCTTCACTTACTGAGGCTTGCCCTCAGAAAACACAACAAATATAGGATCCTGTTATTAACCCCATATTTGAAGCTTCTCAGCCACAGCTTATATTCCATTCACATAGCCTTTGAGAATTCAGTGTATCATGATCTAAGACAATTCCAAAGAACTTATGATTAAAAAATGCTATCCACCTCCTGAGAGAGAATTAATGAACTCTAAGTGCAGACTGAAGCACACTTTTTTCACTTACTTTATTTTTCTTGCTTTTTTGGTTAACATAGCTAATATGGAAATGTGTTTTGCATGATTTCACATGTATGATTGATATCATAAGGCTTGCCTTCTCAGTGGGGGGAGAGGGAGAAAATTTAGAACTCAAAATTTTAAAAAATTAATGTTAAAATAAATAAAGAATAATTTAATTAAAAAAAAATAATTCAGTGTTATTTACATGCCCTGATAAGACTTCTGTGGAGGTGAGATAACTCTTTTCTAATGCCCTCTACTTCACCTTAAGAAAAATAACATTTTTGTTGCTAACTAACCACAGGGAACTCATGTCATTACCTATTCCCGAATATGAAGCCCAGATTAATTAAAAGGGCAAGGAAATAGCCCCCTTAGAGAGTATATATGCCATATTTAATCTTAGTAATAATGACATATTTGTGTTACATTTTTGGAATGGAAAAATATAAAGGGATGGGGACTGCATCTATGTATTCATTCATATAAGGAACTATCTGGTAAGGAAATTCCCTCTACCAATGAAAGGTAGCACATTCTCTGCAACTTATAGTCTTAGAGAGATGACTTACCCAGGGTCACAAAACTAAAATGTGTCAGATTTAAACCCAGGTCTTCTTTGCTTTGAGGCCAGTTCTTCATTCATTAAACAATTTGGCCTCTTTGGAAAAAAATATAAAATAAATTTTAATCATGTACAATAGTTTTGCATGTATAAAACAGGTAGTTTTTATAGTACTTCAGGTTTTAAACATATCAATTATAGGATGGGGCATAAATCAGCAACAAATTCAGAATCATTTTTTCTTCTCCCTACTACTGGGTTCTTTGACTAGATAAATAATAAACATATGGCTAAAAAGTGAACAGTTATTAATATGAGCCATTTAGAGGACTTTAAAGCTGGAAGAGACCTTCAAGATCATCTACTTCAATAATCTACTTCAATAATATAAAATGAGGAAACCAGGGAATTGAAATGATTTGCCCAAGGTCACATAGCTGAAGTTGGAACATCCATCTTTTCTCTTTTAGTACAATCCTATGGTCTGGTTCAATTTTTTAGCTTTCCTACAGTTCCAAAATTTGATCAGGGAAAGAAAGGAAGCAAAAGTGTATGTGCTTAGGAGGGATGTAACTTATGTTCAGGGCTAACACCTCTGCAAGGGACTAGATGACAGAAAGCCAGGTGACAATTAATAGGATAATAGGTCTCTCAAATATTCTGAGAATTCTGAAGTGATATGTGTATGTGTGTGTGTGTATAATGTCAGTTATTATCATTATTATTGCTTCAGAAACAAGTTTTCCATAGCTTCTTCAAGGGGGTTAGCTGACAGTTCATGGTTTAGCTCATTTACACTAGTTAGTATCTTTGTTATGCAATTTACAGATTGGGTGACTCCAAACAGATTCTGCATTATTATGAGAAAGGCATTTATTAATATTTAAGTGTGACTATGCTGGTGATAAGTATCCCTGTGAGGTTGTACAAGTATGAGGGTTTCATTTGGGTTTGATATTTCACACACACAACTTTTCTTCTTCCTCTTTCCCCACAACTTTGGAAAAAGAAAGTGTATTTTCTGTAATACTTCATTCAATATATCTATTAAAATGGTAAATGCTGAATGATGAAGAATAATTACATAAATACATTGAAAAATTAATATAATTTACACTGGAAAAAATGACATATGGTTATTGGTTAAAATGATCATTAGTTTTTGTCAAAGAGGCATCTAAATGGGCAATGTGGTATGGTGCCAAGAGCCCTGACTTGGAATTAGAAGACCTGGGTTCTTTTTCTAGTTTAGTCACCAACAGTATGTGGCCCTGAGTAAATCCCATCAATTTTATAATTCTCAGTTTCTTCAATAAAACAGAAGGTTCAGACTACATGACCATTCAGGTATTATCCTGCTCTAAAATCCCATAATCTGAATACATCCAGATACAATAGGTAAAAGTAGCAGATGCATTTGGAAAGGGAGCAAAACAGATCTTACAGGAGATAAATATATGGGTCTAGATTTGGCTGCTACTACTTCTTTATCTTGGGTTCTTTCTTAGTCTTTTCTTAGTCTTTCTTAGTCTTAGTCTTTTGTTAATGAAAAAGACAAAGAAAGATTAAAGTTTTCAAGGTCATTAAATCCTGTACCTACATGGTCTATTCTTTTCATTGCTTCTACTTCCCCTTTGGAGCTGAATTTCACTTTCATTTGTTTAATTTCAGTTTATTTTCTGAACATATGGCAATGAATAAGCCAAAAAAAAAAAAGAAAGAAAATACTATGTCAAAATACAAACACATACTACTAAAGGGCATCTTTTTCTACACTTCTCTCCATTCCCATGCCCCCAAAACAACAACAAAACATATTATCCTCAAAAGGAAAATGCTGAAATACTCAAATAGTATATTTCCTTTCTCAAATAAATTTCTATATCCTAAAATGTCAATATTTATGTACAGGAATACATTTTGAATTTCTTAATAGGTTTGATAAAATATGTAATCAACTGCAATTCTTTCCTTAGAAACAAAAAACAGATAGCAATTTTGTGTTCTATTCCTTATGGTAAGAGGGATGGTGAAATAATAATTCAGATGAAAATCAACCATGATAACTATACAGAATCCTGCTCTTTTCTGGGATAACACTGTAGATTTTAACAGATGTTAAATACAATCCATTATCATCAGACCACAAATATTTTCTAAACCAATTCTCAACAACATATGCACACTCACAAGAGTTTTGATTTTTTTTCTGGCAAGAAAACTACAGCTGCTGGTAATATAAATTTCCTCAATGCTAGGTAATTTCTTTTTATATTAGTATCTGTATAATAAAAGATAGTGACAAATAAGTAGCACTAAAACAAAGGGAACATAAACAGGTCCATTTCCCTGAAAGTCATCCTCATTTGGTTGAAACATATCTTACCCAGTATTGCCCAGCTAACAATCTGGTTAATTTGAGGCAGACCTTGTTTCTGAAGAAGACTACTGTGAGTACTATTCACAATATATGTGGAAATAAGTACACCTACCATCTGAAAACAAAAAAATCAAAAGGATTAATTAATCTTGTGGGTAGTAAAAAATAAGCATTTCAGCAAGATTACTTAAACTATTACTTTATACTTACAAAGTGCTTTTCATAAATCGATTCAAGTCAAACAAGAACAAGGTAGGATGACAGGAAGCATTTTTTTAATCTCATATGTAAAAGATATTAAGTATCTTTTATGTCTGTGTCACTCTGTATACACATAAAACTAGGATTTACAATGATAATCAGATGTATAGTACTATTTTTTAAAGCCTTCTAATGATTTTTTCTCATGAAATATTAGTTTTCAGTACTTGGGGAAGGCCCAAATCATAATTTTCTTTGGTTATTCTATAGCTTGTACTCCACAAAATTCAATGATAGAAGCATTTCTCTATTTATTTTTACTAAAAATGCAATTCTAATCCTGTAAATTTTACTACTTAGGCCCACCATGTATTCAGGTAGCTAAGAAAAGCAACAGACAACATAAATGTAGTGGCTACTTAGGAATATTCTATCTTTATGGAATTGTTCATAAAGGTTACATATAGTACATAAATCTAGATTTTTCTCTTCTCTGTATATATTTACAAATATATTCATTCCATATTTTACATACAATTTAAAAACTGATCATATACCTACACAGAAGTCACAGACAATTTAATGTAATATATAGAAAGGAGGTGGTTTCTGGAGGTAGTAGATTGGCGCAAAGTCTAAATGACTACTTTATGGGTATTATGAAAAACATAATCTTCTTTAGGATAAGGGCTATTTTATTTTTGTCTCTGCATTTTCAGCAACTAAGAACATTGCCTTAGACAGAGTATTTATTGAAATAAATTAAACAAATATAATTAAGCGAAATGATTCTGTTGTCCATCTCCTCTAGGATTCCTTGATGCAATGTCATCTTTAGACCTTTTTTTCCTTCTTTCTTTTTAATTTCTTCATCTTTGATTCCAGTTAAATTGTACAGAGCTGTGGTTTAATTCAATTCAAACAACCTTTCTGGAGGTCTACTATATGCAAGGCATTGTGCTAGGCCAGAGGTGGGGAACCTGCAGTCGAGGCCACATGTGGCCCTCTAGGTCCTCAAGTGCGGCCCTTTGACTGGGTCCAAACTTCACAGAACAAATCCCCTGCGCTATGCACTACAAGCCCAAAGACAAAAATCAAACAGACCATCCTCTAGGGACCTTCCCATCTCCTGAAAAAACACAATGTGGACACAAATCAATACAAAGTACAGATGCATTTCAAGAGAAAGAGATGCCAGTAACTTGGGGGTGGGGGTAGGGGGGAATCAGTCAATGATTAATGTAGGAAGTGGCATCTAGGCTGGACTTTGAGAGAACTGGGGTTTTCTTAAAGTGGTGCTGAAGAAGGAGAGCATTCCAGATGTGGAGGACAACTTTTAAAAAAACACGGAGCTGGGATATAATTGGTCAATGTATGGGGAACAATTAACAGGTTAATATGACTATAAACAAGTAACACGAAATAAAGCCAGATAGGTCACTGGGAGCCAGTTTCTGGAGCCCAATACTTTAAATAATGTAAGCCTGAGGATTTCATAATTTAGTCTGGAGACAAGAGAGCACCAGTGAAAGCTCCAGAATATGGGGTAAGGGGTGTGTGTGATATTGGCTGATGTGTGGTTAAGGATATCCACCTGGAGACAAAAAGAAAGGATTGTGTGCATGAAAGAAATATTGTGATGTATAAATCAAGGTAATGATTGGATATGGGAGGTTAAGTGTAGGGAGGAACCAGAGATGGCTGCAAAGTTTTGGACCTGGATGGTTGGGTTCATATCTGTGAAATAGAGGAAAAAGAGGTAGACAGAGGAGAAAAAGGTAATGGAGAAAGAGTGTTTTTAAGGTTTGTAAAATCAAAGAAATTCAGGCAGACTAGCAGGTTTGTTTGTTTTGGGGGGGGAGGAGGAGGGGAAGTGAGGTGGAGTGATGAATAACTTGTTAGACAAATGATGTTTGAGAGCACAGCAAGATTTCCACGGGAAAAACATCTATTAGGAGGATGGAAATGCAAACTTGAATCACCAGAGAGTGCAGAGGACAGAGAGAGAGATTTAGGCTATCCTTCTTGGCCCCAAGAAGAATAAAGGCCACACCACCACTCATACCCTAATATAATTTTCTAGGAAAAATAATGAATGATTCTCAATTTTTGGCCCCTTCCATTGCAATTTTTTTTTTGTTAACCTCACTGCCTTTTTCAAACATGTGATTATCCTTTTTTGTAAGAATAATAGGCTATGTCTGTCTGGGGGGAAAAGGAATATCCACTTGTCAAGCTCTGTAGAGTAGATATTGGAGAAAAAAGAGACTGGAGGAATGGAAAGCAATTAGGAAACAGCTATAGCATAGGCTAGTGTAGGTAAGGGCCTAAATTTGGGTATAGGTGAACAAAGAATAGCTATGTGAATAGAGAGAAGTGGATCAATATGAGAAATATTATGGCTCTACTGATTTCAAGCTTCACTGTTTCACATAAATCTTTTCATATTTCCTTATATTATTAATATTGAGCATTTTCAATAATATAATATTTCAATAAAAACATGCTTTATCCAGGCATTTTCCATTTGTTGAACATATAGGTTGTTTCCAATATCTCACTACTATATATAAAGCAACTATCAATCTTTTTTGTGCAGAGATTTTCTCTGCCCCTTCCTCTACCCCATGATGTTATCAAGATAAAATCCTAGAAATGTAATTTCTCAGGTAAAATATATGGTAAGTTTTGTGACCCAGAGAACTTAACACTGTACTGCTTTCCAAAACATTTTTACTAATCTACAGTCCCACAAAGGACTAGAGTCCCTGCTTCTCCATAGCCTCAGTACCATTGAACTTTATATCTATACAAGGTATCTCCAAAGTCTTAGTGAAGTTTTAAACTATTATGCATATATAATGCATAAACTATTATATGTATTACATATATATCTAAGCTACTATGCATATATACATATTATATATACATATATAATACATTATATACATAACACATAATTTTATTTACATATATACATGTATGACAGCTTAAAACTGCAATAAGATTTTGGCAATATTCTATTTTTGCTATTGTAGTGGATATAAAAGAATATAATAATGCTGAGCAGATTTTAATTTCTATTATGTTTATAGAATCTGAACATCTTTTCAGGTAAGTGCTGGGGATAAAAATAAGGAGGACATTCCTTGCTCTCAAGAAGCTTAAAATCTAAAGGGGGAAAATAACACAAAAAGAAGCTGAAGTGGGGCAGAGACAGGAGGTAGTACCTAAGGCTAGGGCATTTCCTTCTGTGGAGTGGAAACCGAGTAGAGCTGCAGATGCAAAAGTGTAGTGAGCTGCAAAGTCCAGGTTCTGACCTCTATAAAGGATGGCTTTGGGTGGAGTTTAGTGGTTTGCCCTCCAGCCCCAGTTGTGAACAGTATGTATTTCTTTCTACATAGAATGTTTTCCTGTGTCCTTTCACCACTGCTCAAATAGCATAGCAACAAAGGTCTTTAAAGAAAGACTAACTAACTAAACGGGGAAAAGATTTAAAGAGGAAGACACAAATTCTGGGCAAATATACTGTTCCTGTCACAATTTGATAAATTCAACAGAAAGATAAACAAAAAAGAAGCTGAACAAAATGTTGGAAGAACTGAATTTCATTGGCTTAATAAGACTTTAGAATGTGAATTTTAGGGAATATATGTGTTTTTTAGACTTTTACAAGATTTATGCAAAACTTATGTGTCAGAGCAAAAAGAACTCAAATATATGTGAAAAGGCAGCAATCTCAGACACATGCTTTAAGGACAAGAACACAAAAATAATGTAACCAATAAAGGAAATGTGAACAAAAGATGTGTATATAAAGAGATATGATAAAAAAAAAAAGGTATCCTGATGAACAAATGAGTCAAAGACTAAATTATAAAAATAATAAAAAGAAATAATTATATAACACAGTAAAATTTTTGAGATAGTTAAAATAGTCCTTGGCAGAAAATTTATCTCCTTGAGCACTTATACTAACAAATGAATATGACTTTGTAGGGTCAACTCCAAAACTGAATCAGGTCCAATTAAGTCTGGAGCTTCAGCTGCTGAGACATGCCTTACCAAAAAGCAAACAATGAAACAAACAAATAAGCAAAAAACCCTGGCCTTACTTAATTCTTATACCAGCAGCACTAATTACTCATTTCAATAGGCACTCTTTATATGCTATCCTTTCTAATCAAAGTGGCCTAATACCTGTTCTCCATATACGATATTCTAGCTCCCATCTCTGTGTCTTTGTACAGTCATCCCCCATGACAGAAATGTCCTCCCCTTCCTCACCTCCTCCTCTTTGACTCTCTGCCTTCCTTCAAAGCACAGTTCAGGCGACATCCTCCATCAGTCTTTCCCTGATATCTCTATTATCAATGCCTCTCCTTGCATTAGTTTATACGTATTTTACTTTTACTTATCTGTCTGCACTTTTTAACACCCAGTAGTATACATAAGGGCAGGGATTATTTTGTTTTTGTCTTAATATACATGTTATTTGGCACACTGCCTTGTACACAATAAAATGAATTTAATGAATATTTGCTGATTAAGATTGTTGAACTGAAAGGAAATCTGTGAACTGATCTTTGAATTTTTTTTAAAAAGTGTTTTGTTTTATTTTAAACCATAGAAAAATAACAAATTAGCATTTTGCAAACAAGAATAAGAGATTTTAGAAATTAATATGAGTTGGCCAGAACCACAATTTTAAAAAGTGAACTAAAAGCAAAACAAAGGGTTAGTTATTTTAAGACTTACAAAAACATTAGCGAATCTCATCCAAAAAGGAGAAAACCAAACTAACAAATGAAAAAAAGAATACAAAACAAATCTGCAGAAATGAAGAAAACCAATACTCCCAATGATATGCCAAAATAACTGAAAAACTTATAGAAAATGGATGCAATCAACAAC